AGACTTTTCATCCTACTGTTAAGTGCTGATCACGATCTACTCTGCATTAACCCAATTCAGTTATTATCAACATAAGATAGTAGACCGCCAACATAAAATCTACTTGAGTCTACCATACTCGAGGCTCGACTTGCAAGGGTCCAACATTATGAATGTTATGAGATACTCTTTTCTAGTGGTGCTTAATTCGGTATAGGGGCCCCAGGCGCAGATCCTGAGGCAATCTGGCTTAACATCTTTTTAATAGAAATACATTTTAAAAATAATGTGAAGCCCCTCCCCCCCCCCCCCCTGCTCTGACTCCCCCCCCCCCCCCATACAAAAAATAAATAAATAATGGTAATAATTAAAAACTGCCGGTGCACAAAATTCGGATAGAGCCAGCTGGGTAACCCTCCGACGCAGAAACTAGCCCTTTTGGGGACCCAATTTGGTTAATTACCTTAATAATAAAAAAAAAATTCCAACCAATTCTGGTGATCTTCATCTTACCCTAGCCAGAGACACCCACTACGGATATATGCAGTCACCTTTAGTGTGTGACCCGGGTCAGGCATATCTGAGCCTGACAACCTGGGCTGCCCATATACACGTGCACAAAACAAAGTCACTTGCGGGTATAGCCAAGAGCACGACTTGACCACAGACTATGTATACAACATCTGTTTCCTGTCAATGACCTTCTTATTTATAGCCTACGACATGTCGAGATTGTATACATATAGATACAGTGTTGTGTAGCCTCAAACCAAGGCGCTAAATATCTGGGTCCCCGGAGGGACCCCTTACTGTAAGCGTGTTAAATGGGCTTTCTGCGTCGGAGGGGTAACGGGGTATTTTATACCCTTTTGTGTAATACCGATCGTCGGATTTGAACAGCGCCCCCATTGAAAGTATGGTTTGCTGCCCCCCCCCCCCCACCAACCCCAAACACCCCGCCACCCCCTTCCCCTCCCACACATCCCACCCACCCCCTACCTATACTGAGGCCAAGTGTCCGGAGAAAAAAAAAACCTGTCTGCATTTCAGCATTGTTTTGCTGATGAAACTCCAACCCCCTCCTCCCAAAAAAAAACCAAATTTCCTGGATCTGACCTGCCTGCCCGTATGTTGTTTACGGATACTAATTTATATGCAGGAACCCACAGCATTAGGCCTATAGGAAGAATTGCTAGTAGAGGGTATCAAGTCATGAAACAAACGCCTTTTCCCCCACCGTTTAACCTGTTGGGTTTCGGAATCGAGTCGCCAAAGAAGGTCGACCTTACTCTGATATGTAATTATCATCAAATACATGTACAGCTTTACTTCTTGACCCATATAATACTGGAAAAAGTTTGTTACCTTTTTATATCAAATGTCTGCGCTCTGTAATGAAGATATATATACAGGTGGCTTGAAGAGCACTTCAGTCACATCCCAGGCTGGATTCGTTGAAGAGAAGATTTAAATCATGAGAGGATCCAAGTCGTGAGTCAACCGTGGTCGTCATTTTAGGGTGTGTTTTGTTTTGGTAATTCTCACACGATATGTTCATTCACGGAAGTATCATGCAGTTTGTACAGACGCACGCTATGCTAGTACATTGTCGCCATGTCAATTCGGGTAATTCCCAATGACTCAACTGTTGCTCAATACTGCGGGTTTTTTTAATATGCTAATCATCAGAGCTATACATTGTCGCCTTGTTGAATACTCTGCATTCAGGTTCACGGACACCATCAAGGTTCGGGGGGAAAGTTGTTGCCGTTCTCAATATTGAAGTTGATATCAATCAAAAAATGCATTTTAATACACTACAAGGAAAACTTACACGAAACTGTCGCGCCCTCGATGGATAATCGTCAAGACGATTAATGCAAGACTTAGTCAGAAAGGGAATCATGGACGTAAATCCTTGGGGATGGGGAGGATATACATGTACTCTCCACCACGGTTTTTTTTTACCTGGGGGATAGATCCCCCCCCCCCATTTGTTTGTGGTGAGTACAAAATGCCGATTTCGAGGTTATCTGGTAACTTTCCAACGGTCAAAAGTTATTGATTTGTTTTGAAAAACGGAGAACAAACAGACACAGTCATGTTTTCATGTAAGGTTAAGGCTCGCGTGTGCAACATGTACCTAATACAGATTGCTTTTGACAATGATTTATTTTAACAATGATTTCTTTTGTTTATGTAAAGTGTCTACTCTTGACTAATTATGAAGTTACATACAGGTGGATATAAGTGCACATCATTCACATCCCAGGCTGGATTCGTTGAAGACAAGATTTAGATCTTGAGAGGATCCACTTCGTGATAACATCCTATTAGGTAGGCTTTGCACTTCTCATACAATCTGTTTACTCAAGGAAGTATCAGTGTAGTTTGCACAAACACGCGAAAAGCAAATCAACTTTATCGGGTAATTCCCAATGACTAAACTGTTGCTCAATACTGAGGGCTTTTGTTATGCTAATCAATACAGTGTACACATTGTCGACCCTGCCTTCAGGTTCACGGACACCGTAGTAAAAATAAAAACTTGTTACGTGTGCGCAATGATCAGAATGGAATAGAACGACTTGAATTAAACTGCTGCTTGTTACGTATTAAATCAGAGGATGGACTTGTTCAAAATTGGGTTTCAATTTAGCTCAGCTCCGGCAGGTAGATAGACGAAGTTCATAATTCAATGCATGTGCTCATTTCAGATGCATTTTTATATTGTCCTTGGCACAATGATCTTTGAAAGAATGCTTTAGTGACATTATCTGGCTTTAATGGTTTAAACAAAAAATGATCCGTTTATTTGGGGTTTTTTTTATGTCGTCTACAGATAAACGTTTCATGATCATTTGTGTGCTAAAATACATTTATCACTTTAAAAAACGCAAGGAGGCAAAGCAAAATGTAATCTCAATGGTAGTTACTGTGATTTTATTTTTTTATTTCACTGTTGTTTCCCCCATAGTTATGGGGTAGAATCCGATTTGTCTAATAACGTAACAATATCGTTTTCGGGAAGTGTCTTTCTAAAGACTGGCGAGCCCCGTGATTGTTTTGATCATTAATAAAATGACACAGAACAAATCCCCAAGTAAGCGGCAAAAAATGGGCTGGAGGGTGGGTGGGGGGAGCTTTTTCCCCGGGTGATATTTTTCCATTTTCGCTGGTCCTAGAGGGGCCAAAGTATCCTTTTTGCGCCTAAATGAGTGACTCACTGAATAACTCGCTGACTCAATGTACGCCCGGCAGTGATATCGTATATATGATTATCTCGTAACGCCGATGATTGGGCTGAATCCGACCCATTTATGTAGAAGAGGCTGTCAATGAATAGCAATTTGAAATCAATGGGACAGATTTTTGTGAACACTGGAGCTCAATTATTTGTGCTTGCTTTGTCTTATTTTCTTAGGAAAAGAAATCACCGGCACCTTATAACCGCTCCATACCATATACCCCGCTTTTACCATTAAAATGAAGGATTTGGTTAAGAATAAAAAAACTTTCCGTAAATATAATGCCACAATTAACATGACATATAACAATTAAAATAAATTAACCAGTGGCCTTCGTAAAACCCGGTTCATACTTCATGTGAATGCTAATACGAAGCGAATTTGACGTCATGAAACATTCGCTGAGTGGAAATATGTTCAACTTTTACGAATTTGCAGCGCGAATACTTGCCACGACGTCACAAATTCGCGATCGCTTTCGCTTTCGCGCAGAGTATGAACCGGGCTTAAGAGTGCAGTTTCGTGCACATTTAGGTAATTTCCTTTTATGATGTTGACAATTTGCTGAAAAAATATGTTTTGCTGATTATATATCAAAAAGAAAATGATTTATGGCCTCTACTAATATAGATAACGAGATTTGATCGTGTTTAAATGTTGTTAGGTTCTCTTTTCCAAGATGAAGACATGCCACTAATCTGTCAAGGCTATTTATAGTGTGAGCATGCATGTCGCCTCATTATGACATCTTGATAACTGTTTATGCGTCGCATGCGTTTTTCAGCCTATGCAAGTTAACATGTTAACGCCCATTCAAACAAAACCCATAATTAATTCTAAACAAATTTTAATAAAACAATATGATGTGTTTTAATTACAGCCTGAAATCTTACTTTACTGCTCCTAGAGTTTTGTTTTTCTGATTGTACAATAGTAAATGTGTTTTTGTGTTTGTTCATGTTGTAATATGTTTTTGGCTTTGTCATATTTTTGGTGTATTTTAAATTATTGTATGTACAACGGTGTACACATATTTTCAATCGTACACTGGATAGGCCTAACCAACTTTCACGTAATTTTGAGCATGACATGAAAATAAAGAAATCTAATCTCATCTAAAATTAGTGGAAGAATTATTTCCCCAAAAGGTAAGAATTTTCACAATGACCACCATACCACCACAATCCTCAGCTTAGCCGGCAAGTTCCAGCTTGATGAGCCAGGATTGTCGAGGTGTTTTGCAAGCAGCCAGTTTCATCACGTTCGCATTGCCATCCTCCCGGTAAATCTTCAAGACGTTCCGTTTGCTTTGCTAACTTGTCCTTTCATAATAATTATTGGTACCAAATTATTATGAAATACCTTACTGGACTGTTAGTGAATGACAGTCTAAAGCATCCTAATAATCATGGCACCTGATGTGCCGTCATTTTCAAGAAAAGTGGTATTTTTGTATCAATTTCGAATGCTGGTCGGCCGACCAGCGTTGGAAAAAACCTGGCTTTTTTCAAATACTGCCCCAAATTACCATTATTTCGTTAGGTTGCATTTGTTTGCAATCGATTACACACCTATGAATAGGTTCAAGCCAGCTAGACTGTTTCTCCAACCTTACAATTCCCTGACGTCTATAAATTGCTCTGTTTCATCTTAAGTGGGGTCCGGGAACCACACTTCAGGAACATGGCTGTTTTTCTTGGTTTTTCCAGCATCTACGAACACAAAACTTCAAACAAGTCAGTGTAACAATATTTCCTATTCTAAATCCATCCATTTTTGAAAATTACAGCACTAAAGCAAATGTATATTCCCTTTAATGAAGTCCGATTCCGTTTTTCTAGCGGCACCATCTTTGCCGACGACGAAGGACCACACCCTTTAGGAGATCTGACCGGAGTGTCTTCCAAGCCTCAACGTTAATGACTTCCAGGTTGTCATCGTCGTGGTAAATCTCGAAGACGTTGCTCGTAGGATTAATGGGGTCTAGCATGACGGGACTGACAGATAAATCAAAAGAAATAGAGTGATGGAAAGGGGTTACAAAATGTAGGTAGTAAGCATTTGACGACCAATTTGATATATTAAACCTTGCCCTTTTTCTGGTGGGGGGGGGGGGTATTTATCTTCAACTTGTGGCAATAATCAAAGGAAGTGTGTGCTTTCATGCCTGAATAGATCCTGATCCTCAATGTAGGAATCGACTTTTTAGGCTGATGTGGGTTGGGTAGCTGGGTTGGGTTGGGTTGGGTTGGGTTTGCTTTTGCATTCAATAGGGGACGTTGAACAAAAGACGGCAATAGGGTCCACAATTCCCGAAGCTTCCACGATTGACGATCGTATACAAAATATATGGGAGGTCTTCCTAAAAAGTTACTGTACAAACACAAACGGGGATCCACGATTGAAGCCGGGTGTTTATACACTGGGTTGGGCTGGGTTGGGTTGGGTTGGGCTGTGTTGTGTTGTGTTGTGTTGTGTTGTGTTGTGTTGGGTTGGGTTGGGTTGGGTTGGGTTGGGTTGGGTTGGGTTAGGCTGGATTCAGGTGGGTTTGGGTTTGTGTGGAGTTGACTTTGGTGGTTTCGGTTGGATTGCTTTGCGCTTGGTTGGGTTGTTTTACTCACCGAGTGGTGTACAGTTTATCAATCACCTGGTTAGCAAATGCCTTGCTGTAACGTCCCTTCCAGTAGGTCCGTATCCCTCGTAGTGATGTCAGCATGAGGAGAACACTTTTAAGCCCCAGGGCCAAACTGAATCTCTTCTGTTTCCCGCCCCGTTGCCATCGGAAGATTGTGATCAACTCTAGCGGGTAGGAGTGGTGGAGATTCCCAGGAAGTTTCTTGTGCGCCCAGTACTTCACCAAACGTATGAGCTCCTTCACACATCCATCTTGGTCCTGGATGAACTCTAACTGACTCTTTACGAATGAGACTGAATAAAATTTTCTGTCCCACCAGCTTTCAGCCAGCATAGTCTGAAAAAGGTCCAATTTGCCTGTGGGCGAATGCACAATATAATTTCTTGCTTTATAGTTTTCCCTCACTACAGTTTTTCCTAGATACCAATGTATTTTTATTTTTCAAAACACACCCCATGGTCCCTTTGACCTTTTGTTTTACAGCTTTGGTAAAATTGGAGATAAATACAAATAAAATACGTTCGAAATACTCCTCAATTCCTCTTCTGTTCATCAATAATCTGTAAAAGTCGCAACGGTGAAACGGTGGGCACATTCCCAACTAAATTGGCCTATATCCCAGGGGTTGAAAGTTACTAGCTTTGTTGCCTATTATCGTATAGGAGGACCGACGATATTGCTTGTTCTGCATTAACGTCAAAAGATAAAATTGGTGGAGAAATTAGGGTATAACGCAACTAGCGAGTGTTGTTATAGCATACCATTACTCCCCACACCTTCTAACCGCGACAAAAAGAACATCTATCGTGAAGGTTGCCACAACCAACCGACATTTTTTTTTTAATGCAGACGTAGGATGGGAGTGCTATCGCCAGCTTACCGACAAAAGGCGATTGCTAAAACAAAGAGACTAGCGTGCATCTTTGTCTTGACCTACCTTTTTTATCGTCAGGAACGTTTTTGGCCGTTGGAAGGAGGTCGACATCAAGCCATTCGCGATCCACTCTGATCGAAAACTGCACGGAGAAATTGGTTGTCCTGAAACTCCTGCTGCGTTCCCCGATTTCGATCTCCAGCTCTCTCTTCAAATCCGTAAGAATCGTTTTTAACTGCTGTTGGTAATTGTGCAGGCCCACCTCCTTGACAGGTTTCAGTTGGGGTGGGCAGATGAAGGCGACTAAATCGATGTCCGAGAAATCTTTAACCATGGTTCCCTTTCCAAGCGACCCACCCTGGAATTCAAAATGAAAGTACGCAAAGAATTCGATTTCGAATATTTCTCGTTGTATTGCTCGTTGCAATGACAGGTATAGGATACAATTGTCAATACAAAAAGTTTGTGAACTATTTACACTTGGCACGAACTCTTGAGCCGTTTACCAAGCTTTACAATTTCCGAGACGTCAATCCTACATAGGCCTTCCACTGTTCTGTATGCAAATCATTGGAAGAAGCGTCACGACAACGTCCACCACTTCGCGGTGGGTATCTTTAGTTAATTCAATGAGTCTGAGGAAAACCAACCTTAACAATTTTGCTGACATCGAACACGACCTTATCCGTGGAGCAAATTTTCTGGATAGTTTTGACGACTTCATTCACAGCTTTACTGCAGGTATCGTCGAATAACGTTGTACCCTTTTGGATATTTTCTTGGTACCACGACTCTAATTCCCTTGGAGGCAAACACCACGGGGGCTCCTGCATGTCCGCCGATGCCATGTTGTTGTGGCGACGTGGCTACCCGAGATGAGTTCATGAAAAAAAATCAAAGTTCACTGATTCTTGCGTGTCAACTATATCAGATCGATAGAGGCTAGATTAGTTATACTGCAGAATATGCAAACATGGACTTTTTGTAGGTACTATTTACCTCATACTAATTATAATTATTCTGTGGTTCTACTTGGGTACCCAGCTATAAGCACAGAACATTGGCCCAATATTGGTTCTAGGTTAGTATTGGGCGGTGTTGGGCACATATTGGATGAAAATATGAGTCGCATTGCCTGTGCCGGTATTGCCAAAAATAAGCCCAATATTGGCCCAACATTGGTGTGAACGTATCGACTCCTCGAAACCGAACATTGTATTAACGAGTATATCTGGTATCGCTCCTCAATCCACGTCATTTCATGACCTCGAGGTCCGTGGTGAATCTGAGTCAGGTAATTGTTTATAAATATCTACAAAATCCACAGATTTTAGGATAAATATAAACTATTATTCACATCTTTGTGGATTTAAAAATATATATATATCCTTCAATTTTTGCACAGCAGTACCTCCCTTTTACCTTATGTACATAAGCTGGTACATTTTTGAAGTACAGGACATTGCAAATTATATCAGCAGAATCCAAATTCATGTATCAGAACAACTTTATCTTTTTCCCTGTGGTTCAGCTTATGACAGTGAAATGTTGACAGTTAACAAGCTGTCATATTTAACCAGATGACTAGGACCAAAGATTTTGCTAGGAAGTAAGGCCAACTAAAAAAAGTCTGCGGTTTCTGGTATGCGCGCGCGTCGCCGTAGCCATGCGCATCGGGAAAATGAAAAAGTTTTTTTTCAATGAAAGATGATGTCTCAAAACCGCCAAACTCACTGGTTTGACTGGAATCCTGCTGCTGCACAATTTTAACGTGTTTTTAGATGGGGTTATGATCGAGAATAAGCTTTATGTGGCCTCTCTGTACTCCCATATATTTGCACTAAGTTTAGTCGGGCACCATTTGCAGTCATCAGCCAACATTTGAGGCAAAAAAGTCAGGTAAAAAAAAAAAAAAGCCTCGTCGCCGCACCACTTTTTAGACAAGCTCTATGCCAGAAACCGGAAACTTTTTTGGGGGCCTAATCAATGTGTTTGACCCTCGTAAATGCATAGGCCTATATGATCACCATGTCATGAGACTGTAAACTGGGCAATCATGCCTTCACTTGTTGCAGATCCCACTGTACAGATACAGCCACAACCGAGCCAGCACAGACATTAAGTGCCTATATTGGGATATAATCTTGGCAAACAGTGGGCCAATCTCGGAAGCCAAACCTAGTAGTCAGAACTGGGCTACTATTTTAGCCCGATATTGCCTAATACCCGTCATCATCCTTCGGCTGCGGAGCAGGCGACTATAGGCTTTATTCCATGTTACTGTGAACATGGGCAAGTGTTGCGATTTGGTCTGGTCGCAGCTTGCCATCACTATCTCCGAGCAAGCAATGAATAAGTAGGTATGATGTGCGTTGTCTTCCTGGTCTCTTCCTCCCCTAGGGTTGTGTATAAAGAACATAAGCTTTTGCAGGTTGATAGTCTGGCATGTGGAGTATGTGCCCAAGGAACTTTAACTGCCGAGTTCTTGCACGCTCCACAAGAGGGTTCGGAGTTAGTCATAGTGTAGATGGTGGCATTGGGAACATGCATGGTCAGTACGCTTTATGCTCAGCATGATATAATAGCAGGAGGTGGCAAAAGCATTTATTTTGCTTTCCATGTCTTTGGATATTCCCCATGTCTCACAACCATAAAAGAACTGTGATGCATGTTGTGTTGAACAACTTCATTTTGTTGAACTTCATTTTGTCCATATGGACCTCATGCGCGCTTTGCTCATAGGCAAAAAAATGTTCCTACATTGACTACAATGGCAATAATATGGCAAAGCATTGGCCGAACATTAGTGACCAACATTTTACCCAGGATTACCCAATATTAACCAATATTGGCCCACGTACGTTTGCTCATTTGCATAAAACTTGTCCTTTTATTGGCAAAAATGGCAATTTCAGCTAAAATTGGCAATGACCGATAAAACCACTGCTTCCCAATAAAGGACCAATTTTATGCCAGTGATAAAAGCGTACGCGGGGTCAAAACTGGATAATATTGGGCCAAGCCATGTTGTGCCCAATATATGGGCCCTATGTGTCTGTGCTAGCTGGGTTTGTACAAAAACGTGATAAAAAGTATAATGCGAACGAAACAATATATATCTGCTGGGAACGGCAACAGACAGGCAGCAGGCTTTTCATAAAAAGAAATGTATTATTGACTTTGTCCACAAGCGTGTTTTTGTTCCCACTGATTCAGATACATGCGCTTTAATTCAGTCGCATTCGATAGTTTACCATAACACAAACATCTGATCTTACCATACTCCCTCCGCAAAATGTATCCAAAATTCGTCGGAAACAACTATTGTCTGCGAATAAGGAACAGGAATCAGACTGCTTTACGTTTTCCTGCTATGAATAACGACGTTCACCAAATGGTAATGGCAGCTCATGCATTACATGTAAATGCAGGTAGTACCCTTGCAGCTACATATTTATTAGTATACAATGGCTCCCACTAAAAATAAAAATGGTTAACGTTTAATGAACGAGTGGCTAACGGACAAGACGGGAATTCCCCGGATGAGAAATCGCGGTACTGAATCACAAGGGCCAGATGTAGTGGGTTTTTTGTGCTGCATGGGTAAAGTACATTGTGAGCAATAGTTATACAGTCGCGACGCCACATTACAAATAGCAACGCAAGCCTGATGACTCCCCGACCCCGAGTATAAATATTGTTCCTTGCACGGCGCGTTTCAATTGATTGCAAATAAAAGTATCAAGGACCCTCAGTTGCAACGGGAATATGGTTGCCACAAATACTAGTGAGGCTGCAGACAATATCCGCGTTCAGCTGGTTTATTATACGGAACATTTATCTGAATTACAAGTCGAACGGCAAACGAGAGTACGAAAAGCATCAGACACCTGAGCGAACACAATGGAAAATGATACATGTCGATGAGAGAACTTTGATCTTAGTATTCCCAGGCTATTAAGAGAGGGCGCACTTAACAATTACTTGGCTACTACAGGTCTATTGCAGCTTCAGTGGCGCATCCCGCCGGATTTTTTTTCGGGGAGGACTATTTTGACGTTGGTGGCACCACTAACCCCCTATTATACTACTCGAAAATAGGCCACATACATATCACCAAGGTCAAATCGTAGGACTAGAACAAAAATATAAAAAAATCCCCCAAAACACAAATTGACAACCTGGGGGGGGGGGGGGCGCTCAAGCCCCCCGAGTGCCCCCCCCCCCTTGGGTGCGCCACTGTGTAGCTTTATTTCGAGCTTGATTATTGAACAAGCTAATAAGGAGGAATCGAAAACATGAGGCGGGGAGTTAAGTCGAACTTATGGGTGGGGGCGTAAGCTGCAATAGATCATAGATGAAAAATACAGCTTATATATCAGGAGAGGCTAGGTCCATGTAAATATTTTGCTGTTGTCGGTCATGTTTTGCTCCTGTCAGCGCTACACTTTGATTATTACATTTTACACACTATTATACCCCAACCGTGTGCAAATCATGCGCTTGCGCTGTTGAAGTTTAGTTACCACAAAGACTTTGAACATTGAATAAACCAGATTTTGTCACGCTTGTTTTATTTTTCCCTCAACACAAACTCTTTTTTTACCAATGTAATGGCACTTTATCGTGTCTTGTTTATTGAAGTCGCTAATTCGCACTCTGAATCAATTGAATTACGTGTGTGTTATTTTAACGTTTTGCGGAGATGTTGCAACTGGTGAAGAGTGTTTTCCTTGCCACTGACAATCTGTCACTGTACCTACCGCAGCAGCGGGCCAAGACTCAGACCATTTTAACTGCAGGAACTGTACAGCCTGGATTCGAACCGGTGGCCAAACTTTTCAGATGCCTGATGTTTGATTGAGTCTCCAAACTCTATTGAAAAGTGGAAATTTGTGAGATAAACAGGTTTGGTAAGAACTGGGAGCATTATGATAATGCATTATGCACATGTATTGGAAAATTTATGTGGGCCTAAGGATAACATTTCCTTCAATGTAACTGTATTTTTTTACGTGAGGATAGGCCTACCAATCCACATTATTAAATAATTTTCAAAAAGAGCGCCAATGTTCACCAGAAATAAAGTATGAGAAATAATTGACTACATTTATTCCGAATCAGAGCACAATAAGTATCAATCAGTCCTCTTCAAAGCACGAATCTCTGTGTGAACACTAACCCAACGATGACTTCCATGGGGTATCAATTGTAGCATGTGCGAGTTCGGATCAAAAAGTTGCGTCAAATGGTCCATATTTTTTTTACAGCAGACTTGCATTTTCTAAATACCTATTGCATACATCCCTTCCAAATATAGCTTCAGTTGGCTTCCATGCATTGCTGCATCCTCATCACCTCACTCTCAAAGCACTGGCGGTATATACTATTGTTTTCAACTCCGATTGCAATGCTTTGGCAATGTTGTATTTTGTAATTATTTTTCAGTGCTTTAGAGGTGTCATGAAACCAATTCGTAGTATAAGCCAATTCGTAATTTTGCCATGGGAACATAAGGGGCACTGGCGAAGCAAATACGGGTTGAGGTGGCTCTAGTTGGCGCCCTTTTCATTTAAAAAAAATGTCCACTTAAACTTGAGGAAATATGTCCTAATTTCTTGAATCATTCTGGTTTATCACATGACTCAACATTGCAATAGCCAGTAAGGAAGACCTCTGTGCTGTCTAAACATGCTACAATAACAGTAAAGAGATCCAAATTTAGAAGGAAAACACCTAAATTTACCAAATTCCACCATTCTCTATATGCCCACACTGTGAAAACTCTGTGTTCACATTGTTATGACACTATGAATTTGTTCCAAATTCACAGTGTCACACACAGAGAACACAGTGTGACC